AAAAGCAAGATCCCATACTCTTCAGCTGGCTTATTTATACGGCGGGCCTCACCTCCTCTGCTTCCTCCACAAGTGCAGCCGCAGCCACACTAGCTACGTACTTTGCCTGACTCCTCCAGTTTCATGTGTGTGCCAGCTTCTTGGTGCTTGCATAGTGATCGATGGACGACGCAAACAAGCCTCAACGGCCGCAGCAGCAGGAGGAGCAGAAGCCCATGAGCGAGGACAAGACGACGATGATGAAGGTCTTGTCGGAGGACGGCGGTGGCGAGGCCGAACCGTCGTGGGAGTCCGGGGACGGCGACGCCGCCGACCACAACCACCGGGGATGGAAGGCCATGCCGTACGTCATAGGTGATTGTCACTACATCCCAGCTATCTGTTTTCCCTGCATGCACATGTCACATCTTTTCGATCTCCCGCTGAATTCATTGCTGCTCCTATTGTTTTTCTTGACCTGGATCTCAACAAACTTTGTTCATGCCATCGTAAATGAACCGAAAAAGCAGACAGCAAAGGCGTGCAGGACAAGTAGGGACGGAGGGTGACAATAATTCAGTTAGTTGCTCACATGTATCGCGCCATGCCATGCCGTGCCGTGCCATGTTTACCTCTATCTCTTTGCGTTGCTTCATTGAGACGATGAGTGAGTGCCCACAAATCAGCAACCCAGGCCATGTGTGTGTGGTACCGTGATTTGCACCCAGCACGTCCAAAAAGGGCGCTATGCAGTAGTACATGTCAATGCAATGTATACTTCTCCTCATTCTTGACCACGAAATGCAAAATACTGTAGCCCCTAGTTTTTCTAAGCAAGAGTTCAAAACAATATTTGAAAACGGTAACAAAATCCAAAAAGATTTTATATGTACATCACTACCGGAACAGGGCCCGATGCCGACGGCCATATATATGCCGACGGCCCCCGTCGGCCTAGTCTGGGCAATGCCGACAACCATGTCCAGGCCGTCGGCGTAATAAAGCCGGCGGGCTATCCCGAGCTATGCCGACGGCTACCGTCGGCCCAGAAGAGCCGTCGGCTTAGCCCAACCTACGCCTACAGCGGCCGTCGGCATACATTGGCCGTCGGCATAGTTGCGGGCCCGGCGATCCCGCTCGTGATGTGCCGCTAACGGCGTTCGATCTATGCCGACGGCCGAGACGGGAGGCCGTCGGCATAGATGCGTTTACAACGTCATCGATCCGAGGCGCACCGACCACCACCTATGCCGACGGCTGCCGTCGGCATAGATGCCACATCACTGAACCGCGGCGCGTCGGCCATCTGCCCTGGCCGCAGCTATGCCGACGGCAGTTTTTTTTTCTTTTTTTCATAGCTATATTTTATGTTTTCTTAAATATTATTATTTGACTAACTTACATATAGTATGTGTTAATAAGCATATATACATTATTTTTCGGTTCTGTACAGAGCGGTGTGACCCCCCTCACGAACGGTGCCGCCGCCAGCCGGCACCTGGAATGGGGAACAGCCGCATCGGGTCTTAAACGAAGGGGACTTTGCTCCCAAGTATTTATATATATATCGGATGACCTACCACAACCGGGTGGTGTTGTGGCATGTCCGAAGAGGCGGCACGCGTCTCCGGTGCGTGGCCCCCCTCACGGACGGCGCCGCCGCCGACACCTGGAGGGTGGAAACTGCCACGTCAGGTCTACACGGAGTGGATTTAGCTGTGGGTTTGGCCCGGATGTTGCTCCCCGGTGTCCCTCTGGGCCGACCTGACACAACCGGGTGGAGAGGTCCACTGGTCAAAGCCCATCCGTGGGAAGTCAAAGGGCTAGATCTCGTGGTCAACCGCTCCAGGGTAAGGCGGGACGGGGGGCCTGGGGGTAGCAATGCCACCGGAGCGTCGTACCGGGCCCTCATAC